CCCAGGATAGAGAAAAGTGGGGGGTGTTTGTCCGTGGCCTATACCCTGATACAGGGTGAGAAAGGCAATGATGATGAAGCAGCACCAGCAATATTATAAAGAAAACGTGGAGAGATCAATAACAAATTATGATACCCCCCCCCTCTTCCCCTTTTTACCGAAGAAAATACATTTGTGAAGCAGTGTGGTGGAATCAGGCTCTCGTCAAAATAATCAAAGTGAAGAAACTTGCATTTTTCCGCAGGTTTGTGAATTTTTATCAATTTTTTATATATTTTTTTTTTGGAGGGGGGCTCAACACCTTTCATGTCCATTAAAAAATTCATTTCGGTCTGGATTTTTCTGAAAAACGTTGATTCAAGGCACAAAAAATGTAAATTTTCAGTTACCTCGGACACTTAAGCTAAGGAAATAACTAACCTTAGTGGCTATTTCTCACCAATTTTACCTCTGAAAACAGGTGACCCCCACCTCCTTCATTTGCAAATATCTTGACTTGTATTAAAGATAAATTGAATTTTTGTTCTTCCAAATAAAGACAAGTGAATAAGCTTTAGGATGCTACCAATAGCTCTCCATGCCTCAAAATTGAAGAGAGCCTGATTCCACCATGCTGTCTCACATTCAAATGTACCGAGTACAGAGACAACAGATTTCTTTATGTTGTCCCGTCAAGACTGTGCTAAGGCCGTAGGGTAAGGGTAGAACCACGCCAACGCCCGACACCGACTGTCAGACCAAACCCTCTCTGGTCAGACCAAACCCTCTCTGGTCAGACCAAACCCTCTCTGGTCAGACCAGACCCTCTCTGGTCAGACCAAACCCTCTCTGGTCAGACCAGACCCGCCGTTTTCCGTCGCGTGCGGCCGACCATATTAACCCTTCCAGCCCCAGCCATTTTTGTGCACTCCCTTACCCCAGTCCCAGCCAATACAACAATATTTCAGAAAAAGAGGCATGCATTCTAAAAAGTGATGTAGTATCTTCGTAATGAGGTTTAGATAATAACATCGAGCATTGTTTAAAGGTAAATGAACAAATATTATGAAAATTAAAGTTTAATTAGATAAGCTAATTTAGAAAAATGCGCAAATTCGGTACCCCCCGAAACTGAGAATATACGCGCATGGGGCTGGAAGGGTTAACACCGGAGACTGGCGGTCAGACACCGGAGTTTGGCGGTCAGACACCGGAGACTGGCGGTCAGACACCGGAGTTTGGCGGTCAGACACCGGAGTTTGGCGGTCAGACACGGCCATCTTGCAAATATGGCGTATGGTAGAAGAAGACCATTGTTGTTGTTGTTGTTGCTTTTGAGACGCAGACAAAAAATGAAAACCAAGACAAGAAGAGTTTCCAAGCATCCCATCCAAAGAAACGGATATGGCCCGATCTTTTGTCGGGAGGAAGAAAATCGGTCGGGTCGTTTCCGTCTTGTGTGTCCATCAGTTCGGACAAGACACGTCTAGACTGTTGGCCTACTGGCCGTATTATTCCACACACTGTGTCCCAAGGCTGTGTCCTCGGTTCGGAGCTATAAATAGTTGAGGTCAATGAACCCAAGGCGGGAATAAGAAATGAATGGGTTTTTAACGGAAAATTGGTAAACTTGTTAATATGCATATAAACCAGGTGGTTTCGGAATAGACTTTACTAATTTTGAGGCGCTGATTACGAATATATGACATTCGAATTTTATTCCGAAATTAACATTATAATTTTTTTTAGCTTCGGGGGGGGGGGCGCTATATCGCTTACACGACCCGACCCGGCTAAAAGTGTACAAGCGTCTTTCTAACCCTCATGTCTTTTGTCGGGGCGTATCGTGTCGTGTCTGTTGACAAAGCCTAGCGGACTTTTCACTGATTCCTTAGTAAATAAACGGTGCTCCATATCAACTACCGACTTTCCCGAGAGACGGACGGAATCGGTTCGGTTGGAGTCCGTCGCAGTGGACACGGGGCCCTATCTATCCCTCAGTGGGTTTACCTCACATAAACTATAAACAATACACAAACGTTCACACGTAAAAACGATATTCTCATCCAGCCAAACAGCACAATGACCACCCGGCCAGAGAGCGACGCATCAGCAGGTGAATCTTCAGCAAATCTGACAGAGAACCCCACTCCTGACCATGCCCTTGACCCCAACACTCACCCCCACCTGGCCTTTGTATACGGGACGTTGAAGACGACAGAGCCTAACCACCGGCACATGTTCGCCAAAGGAGCTGCCGGAAGTCAGTTAGTCGGGCGGGCAAGAACTGTGGAGAAGTTCCCTCTGATTGTTGCGACGCCTTACAATGTACCTTTCTTGTTGTTGAAGGAAGGCACGGGCAATGTGAGTACTTAAAAAAGCTTAAGTGGTAGGTTTTCCAAAGTTAAAAAAAACATATTACAAAGTTCCCTTTTTTGTTGCTGAAGGAAGGGAAGGGCAGTGTGAGTAGTTAAAGCTTAACTCTTTAAAATTAAGGACGTAGACAGAGGCCACCAAATACGTCCGACAACAGCAGCAGACCAAAGGCAGTGTTGTGGCATATTTCAAATCATCATACATATATATTCAGAAACACAAGATGTATGTTTCATAGTAAACATGCTGTTCCCTGTTTTTATTTTTAGGAAAGACTTCTGTAACGATCAACAAACACAATAAAAGACAGGACCTAGATCTAGACCCAACTCTAACCCAACACCTAGGGTTAACCTTAACCTAACCCTCTTTTCTATACTTGTTTCATAGGGGTCGCTCGTTACGGACTTCCTCTCTTTTTTAAAGTTTCAGATAACTGACCAAGTAAACAGAATTGACAAATCAGTATGAACAACTCTGCCATCCTTGTTTTGCTTAAAGTGCTCCGCGACAACACGTCCTCAATGATTAAAGTAACAGGCTTCTTTGTCAGAAAACTGACAATGTATCTAATATAACCATTGTTACTGTTAACGTTAACTTACCGTTCATTTGTATCATATGTGTATGACTGCGGATCTGTTTCTGAGTGTAAACGCATTTATATTGTGTGTGTGTGTGTGTGTATATATATATATATATATATACACATA